GTATTTTTGTTGAAAAATACAGGGAAATGTTTGATGAAACACCTGAAATCTTGTGTATGAAAATGTGTATATAAATTTTTTTCAATTAGAAAAAAGTTCACACTTAGTTGTTAGAGCAGATTCAGCTACATTTACAATCCATCGTTAGACCTTGTTTAAAAAGGAGATCATTAATAAAATTAACTTAAAAAATAGGAGTTATACTGAATCTGGAGTGATAAAATGTTGCAGAATATGGGCTGATAATGCTGTAGAATATGGGCTAATAAAATAATGTAGCTGAATCTGGATTGATAAAATAATGTTGCAGAATATAGGCTGATAATGTTGCAGAATATGAGCTGATAAAATAATGTACCAGAATATAAGCCGGCTAATCTGTCTTTTGTTTTCATATAATGTGCAAAGATATTGTGTGCTTATTAGTAAAGAACATGCTGCACATATTTTCTCACGAAGTACCTTTTTTTTGGAGCATGGTTTTAAATTAAACTAAACAAATTAATTTTACACTACCTGTACAGCTGCTATAGCAACTCAGTATATCAATTGTATTTCCAACACAAAAATTGACATCAAAGCATACTCTAGTTCTGCTCATAGTACCATTACCACAAGACTCCTATTACTTTTTTACCTTTAACTCCTATTACGAACTATTAAATAATAGTTTGTTATAGGAGTTAATCTGAGCATAAGTAGAGGAGTTGTGAAGAGTGTTGCCATTTATCAAAATAAGAATTTCAAGAAACAAAGATAAGAATAAAAACAGTTCTAGCCTAACAAGTTTTGTTAGGCTAGAGCCGGCTTTGAACCATAGACCTCCAGTTTTGTCAGAGCTCTAACCAGCACACTTCGGTTGCCATCTTTAATGTTGATAATGCATTCTTTAATGGTTTATGACAGCCTTGCTAATCTAATTGTGTACTTTATAATGTAACATATAGAAACATTTAAAGATTGCAATTTATTAAAAAAATAAAAGTGCAATATAAGCTCTAAATGTTTAACTAGTCATTAAATATATACACTTACTAAATTAATAAATTATAAAAAGTCTTTGAAATTGAATACTTAGGTTAATGCCTTTGTTGTTTGCCAACGATGTCTTTACCTTGAATATTGAAAAAACAAAATTCTTAAAGTTTTAAGAATTTTTTTTTTTTATATAAAAGATTATAGAGAAAATTGCCAAATTTAGTAGAATCCTAAACAAAGAAATAATGACATCAGTATTGTATTAAGAACTGTCAGTTTTCAATACAATACAATCAAATTATGACCTTATTGAGAACTGTCATAGTTTGTTAATGAAAGCAATAAATATGATGACTAAGGTAAAATAGGGTAACATTGACACATCTTTAGAAATTATTTTTTATTTAGCTGTGACAAATTAAATTTAGTATGCAATATTTCTTTGTGTTTACCAATGATAGTGTTGCGTTAAAGTGATGAAGAATTTAATTAGTTATCTAATATTATTGATAGATAAATAGTTTTGCTTTTAGGGTCCAATGGTCAATGTTACCCCATATAGGGGTAACATTGACAGTAGTATGTTTTATGCTGTTACATCATGAGGGGTAACATTATTATTGGAATTTTCACAAACAAAAAAGAGAAAATGTTTTTAATATATATTAGCATCAATCTACATTTTCGTTTTAAAAATAAGCAGCATTAAAAAGTTGTAAACTGCAATGAAAATGTAATGTTATATTATTTTTTGAAAGATATCAATAAGTTTCAGTTCTGATAGTGTCAACCTAAAAACATAAAAAAGTTTGTTAATTTATGATTAAAAGTCTTTTCTCTAAGAGTTGTCAAGCTATTAAGCTCTACATCACAATAATTGATATGTGTGGCTTTTAACTTTTTGCAACTGTTGGTTTTAATACATGTTTTTTTTTTTTAATAAACATGTGAAATTTTTGAAACAGGCTCGGGTATGCTTAAGCAAAAAGTTAAAAGAGGCTCAAAAATATGCTTAAACTTAAGCATATTTCTAATAAAATATGCTTATTTCAATACTTTCTAGAAGTGCGTGCGTTACTAAAGGTCAATGGTTATAAGAAAAATTGACTTTTGTACAGTATAATAAAAAATAAAAAATATATACTATATACAAATGTTATCAATGAAATCAAAGATATGAACTTCGCATTCCTTCTTGTCCAGATCCATAAAGGTGTCATCTGGAAGAATTTCGTTGGCATCTTCATTTATAGCATCATCTACCTCTACCGGTTGAATATCACTTTGAATTCCCTTAGGTTGATCACTGCCAGGATCAATGATGGATGGTGGGGGCATTTTGTAACTATCAGGGCCCTCTGGTTTAAAAAGCGAATCTTCTGAGCCATCAGAAGTCATTAAACACCCAGTCATCGTCCAACATTTCTTCCTTTGCTTGTCTTACTTAGAAGTATTTAAAGCTTTCCATGCTTCCCCTGCCCAATGTGTAATCAAATTTCGTCTCTCTTTTGCAGTGTAGGGCATTTCATTACTGAACTATCTATCAGAATGATTATCAAGCCATTTTTGATGTTCAACGGCAATAAGTCTTTTCAGAGTGGCAGCATATCCTGCATCAACTGGTTGCCAAAGGTAGACCGTACCAGAGAAGTCGTTTAGCAACAGCCACAGCATCTTTAAAATCCTCCTGCATCTGTCCCTTCAAATTGTCCAGCAAAGAACAAATTTATCAAGCATTTGTTCTCTGACAAATGGAAGGAGTGTTTTATCACACCAGTGCTTACAAACGTTTTGGTCTAACCAAGCATTTTATTGGAAGTAAACGTAAATATCTTTGTGCCATGCTAACTTTTCGTCTTTGAAATGCGTTTTCCTTGACTTCTAAAAATGATAGCTAGCTTTGGTTGCTCTCCTTCTGGCCGAAACATAATTTGAAGGAAACATTGCCTTTTTTCCAATCCTGATCCTGGTTATGAGATCTATGTATTATGTGTTGCACCTTGACCCTTGGGAACATACTTGTAAGTTTTCTTACCACAAACAACAAAGGGAAGTGGGCTCTGGTCAACGTTGAGCCTTTGTCCAGGTTGGTACCGTCCCCATTTTTTGTCAGCTGGGATCTTTAGAACCTGTTCTGATACACCTTTTTCTGTATGTCGCATGCCATTTCTGTAATAATGGTTCTATTTCTTTCTTATGTTTCCTTTTGTTTCTTTGTTTCGATCCCATTTTTAACTCCTTTTTTTGTAAAAATCGAACTATAACATAATATTTTATTTCCACGTTTGGATCAATGTTTAATTGTGTATTTCTAGCTTTACTCCAAAGCCAGGAAAAGTTAACAATATGACCTTTCGATCTGGCTTGTAAAAATTCTTTCTAAAGAATTTCGTATAGTTTAAGATATTTTGTGGAACGTCTTCCCTTCAGAAACAATTTGCGATAGGATGATTCGGCATCTTTAATAATAGCTTCTTTTTTTTAAGCCATCGCGAAATCTGACTTTATTACACCCAACGACTCTGCTATAGTATCTTGATTTGCCTCGTAACCATAGGCGTTAATTGCCTCTGCTTTAAAGGCAGAAATGTATTGGTGGCGTTTTTTACCAGCTAATTTGCTAGCCTCTTCACTTTTTTTTAAGGCACCAACAACTTTGTTGACAATGTTATCAAGTACATCTTTAACTGTTAGAGTGACAAGTTCTTCGTTACCTTGAAGAATTTGTGATTGTGACTGTTTACAATCTTGTTTGCTAACTCCGTGCATAACTTTAACATGAAAAGCTAGTACTTGTTGGCTTTTGAATAACTTTTTGCAGTGTTCTCATTCAACACTAGTTTCGACAGGTTCTAATGGCAATCGGATTGCACTCATTTCTCCTCTGTGCATAGCGTTTTTTGTGAAACCAAACGCTGCCAATGTAGGCTGCTTTCTCTTTATCTTCTTTGACATTGTTATTACTATTTATTAACAGTATCTGAAAATAAGACTTGAAAATAAAATAAACATTTTAATTATGGTATTGAAGATACTACACATTAAGAGCGAGAAAGAAAAAAAAAAGAGAGAGAGAAATAAAACACTGCAGAGCGACTCTTAAACTTATGTTTTTCTAGTCAAGTATTGAGGTTTAGATTTTGCATTACAATGCCTTCTTTACTTCATAAAGTCATTGCACTGCAAAACACAAACTTCGATTTTTATTGTTTTTGTAGGTTTAAATTTAGAAATATATATATTATATAATTCTTTTAAATGGTTTATCGAGGCTCAGGAATATGCTGACATATGCTTTTTTTTTTTCCAAATTTGAGCCACCATATGCTTATAAACGTTATGCTTATTTTAAAAAAAAAGCTGTATCTGTTGACATAAAATGTATTGGTAAATTTCTTTTTTTTTACAGAATTTCTAATTTAGTGTTTGCTCTCTTTGGTTTCATTTCATGTTATTGTGAAAGATTCATCAAAAGTAAGACATTCCGTCAACTTTTGCTTGATTTTTGGTCAATGGGATGACTTAAGCAATCCTGTCAATGTTACCCCAAAACTGAATACTGCGTTTAGAAAAATGCAAAACACAAAATTTATAAATGCTTAGTATTTAAAAACAACATCATAAAAGCACATGAAAACAAATGATATTATGTATGGTTTTACTTAACTTTTGATTTATGTTTTTCAGTAACAAAAAAACTAGAAATTAGTTTAACTTATGACCTCCGTATTGTATTGTTATGAAAACTCAATTATCTCAATTATCTCCGTATTGTATTGTTATCAAAACTCAATATTATCTGGATAAAAATAACTTTGTTCATTTAAAAAAAAGCTTACAAAAAGTTACAAAAAACAAAAAAGTTACAAAAAACAATTTATTGTTTTTTGTAACTTTGTGTTTTTGTGTGTCTATTCATTGACAAGTTTCTATGAGTGATACCTTATCTATAAGCAAAATAATTTATTCGTTATTTTTAAAAATTAAAATAATATGTTTGAAATAAATGGAATGTATTTTAGAGTTTTAACATGTTAAATGCACACGTGTCAAATTTGAAGCAAATTCGACGCAAAGATGCTCACCGAAGAGCTTTATTAGCTCATTTACAAGTACAAAACCAGCAGTTTTCTTTACTTCCCTCACTTAAAGATGTTAATAATGTTCATGTAGAACAACTTTCTTCACGTGCAACACCTATTATTATTGCGGCTCGACAAGCGCACGTTGATTATATGAAATCGTTGAACCAGCCATGGTGGAAAAAAAATACCAATGTTTTAAATGAATGTAGTTTAATTAACGATAAACTATTTTAATCTAAAAAAAATTGCTGTAAATTTTATTAATACTGTATTATTCATGTAAATCTTTAAACTTTGTACAGTAATAAGTTTATTATTATTATATTAATTTTACATTATTAATTTAAACTAGCAGTCGAAAACTGAAATTGGGTCGTTGTAGATCTATTTCTTTACCCCATTTATTCTTTGCATACTCTATTTCAAAATTCTTTAGTAAATTGCACAAGGAAAAACCTTTGACCAGTTTGTTATAAATGATTTTAAAAACTTTAAAATAAAATTCAGTTTTTTTCGAATGCTTTTATTAACTCTCGTCTCTGTTTGTCTGTGAGCATCAAATTTTGTTATCAATTTTTGAGTCACTTACTGATGATAGAATTTCTTCAAATTTTGCATACATACTCTTACTTGATGAGAATGTAATACTCAATAATTAGCTTTGCAATAAGTCAGTTAATATAGATAATTTTAATTAAGTTTATTTTTTATATGGAAATAAGAATAACTATATGTAAAAATAATTATATGGAAATAAGACCTCTGAGGTACAGATATGTTTTTTATTTAAAGCAAAACCATCTTTATTAATGACGTTGTTTATATATAATGATTGTGATGGTGATTATAAAGGTTGTATTTAAATTAGAAAAGTTAAAATAAATTCGTTTTTTAAGTTATTATTTTATTTTTCATTATTTTTACTTGAATTTTTTAATTTCTTTTTGTGTCGTATCAAGCTAAATGGTATTATAGAAAACGATAAAATCCACATTGGGTAATCTCTCTCAATATAAAAATAAATTTATGACCAATAAAATTTATTACAATCAAGTTGAACTGGAAAGTTTACCATATACAATTTGCAAAACGGTTTTGGAAATATTTGCTAATTAATATTTTTAATTGTTTTTGAGAAATGTGATATTTTATGAGTTCACTGTTATTGTATTTTATTTACACTCTTTATTTGTTATAAAAGATTATAAAGTAAAGCTAAAGGAAAATAATTAAACATATAAATTACTTATTGCTATTATTTTTATACTTAATTACTTTTTGATAATAAATATTTTTTAATATCTTCTTATCATTACTTTTTTTATAGAGTGCATACTGTTAAAATATGATTTACTTTAGTAAATTTTGATGATTAAATTTTGATGATTAAAGTTTGATGAATAAAGTTTACTTTTTTGATCATTAAGTAACAGTCTAGGAAAGAAAAATTAGTTCAACATAAACATAGTCAAAAAGGTCAAAGAAACTTTCAGGTAATAATTGTTTATTCTAATGTCTTAGTCCATATATTTAATCAAATAAAGCCTTATAACAGAAAGCTCCTTAGCAGTAAATATTATTTTCAGTTAAAAAATTGCTAACATTGTTGGCCAAAATTAAATCCTTAGGGTTTGTCTGTTGACAATTTAATAGGGTGTCACTAGTTTATAAATTTTTTAGCTATATATATATATATATATATATATATATATATATATATATATATATATATATATATATATATATATATATATATATATATATATATATATATATATACTCTGGTTATACTTAACATGAATTTCCCTGGTTTTTCCTTAATTATCCTCTGATCCAATTGTCTATGTATAAATTTTATACTTTATTTTAAAGTATTATTTTACAAACTGTATACTTTAAAATAAAGCCTTATTGTTACATTTATTATACTCTTGTTTGTATTTGAAGAATATTTTAAAGAATGCTTTATTCTTATTTCCTCTATAAACTGCTTTGATAAAAGAAATCATAAAAAAAAGAGACTAAATTATAAACAAGCTCAAATTAACTTATATATTTAAGAATAAAAATATATCTCAAATAAATCATTAAACTCAATAAAAAATCTCAAATTCTTAAATACTGAAATAATGATAAAAATTTAAACAAAACTACCACCATAATAAAAAATAGATAAAACAACAGATAGAAGGTCACAAAATTAAAACATCAAATGATCTTTAAAATTTCAAAATTTTAGTTTTCTCAAGAATTGCATCTGAATTTGCTTCATAGTGTTTTTACTACTATTCCCAGAATAATCTTTTTGTTAGTAAGTCTTTTATGCCTTTTGCAATTGAGTCACTTTTCTGCTTTCGAGCATTCATAAAATTATTTTCTTTTTGATCAGCTAATTCAATCTTTTGTCAACTGTGTTCTTTTTTAACAGATTCTCTTAGTTCTTTTGAGATAACTGCAGATTCTGGGTTCAAGTCATGCACTTTCAAATGGTATATGTAATATACAATTTTCTGGCTTATTAATATTCGTTAGATTAACTTGTAATATGTTCTAGTAGATTTTGAACCCTCTTTTTACTGCTGCTTAACCATGAAAAAGTATTAACATAATCCTGATTAATTTGACTTAATCATGAAAAATTCCAACTTTAGAAAACAAAAATTCATCTAATCTATCATCTATTTTGTTAAATTTAAAGAAAAGTCCTCTTCTTTTAAAGACAATATTTTCCAAGTATAACTTGAATTCTGTATTTACTTTTGGAGACAATCTTTTCTAAGTATAACTTAGAGTATAACTAAAGTAAAGCTTGAATTCTGTATTTACTTTATCACTAGTTTTTTAGTAAACACAATGTAATTGAATAAAATCATCTACCAAACCTTTTATTCTTTCTTTTTCATTTAACACAATTTTTGGGTCAAAACACTTTGCATTTTGTACAATGGCATATTTTAGAAATTTTTCTATAAATTTCAATATTAATGACTGCAGTAAACATATGCAACTTTAGCTGAAAAGAGAATTTATCATTTATAAGTTATTAAAATTTTATAAATTTATAGGACAAACTTTGTACTTTGTAGTAGTATTTAAATCTCAACGCATTAAGCTAGATTTATATTCTGGCATCAGTAACCACCGATCATCAAAGTATGTTGAATTTATTTATTAGTTCATTAATTTTCTAAAGAAACAAGAACTGAAACAAAAACTAAAATTATACATTTTTTTATCTAAAGAAATTAAAAATAACAACTGCATGAAACAGCTTAAAAACAACAACTAAAATGTCTTGTAAAGGTAAATTAATAAAAGTTAAAGTTTATTTTTTAATAAAACAAATTAAAAAAATTATTTTCGTAGTACTTACTTTATTTATTAAACTCTTTGAAACTAAAGAAGAAGAATTGAAGAAGAAGAATTTTTAAAAATAGGCCTTTATCAAATTTTCCATTTTTTTATTTAAAGAAAATTCAAATAATAATAAATGTGGTAAGTATCTTTTTTTAATTTTAATAACTTTGTTATTAAAAAAATAATAATAACCATAAATAAAAATATAAAGAAACACGATGAACCCAAAAAGTAAATTAAGTAGGTACTTCAGAGAAAAATCAAAAATCTTTGTTTTTTAATATTTTAATTTTATATATTGGTGCAATAATGATACACAGGTAAAAAAAAAAATCTAAAAAAAACACAGCAGATTTTTTATGCTCAATAAATCAACAAATAACCACTTTGCAGTGTGTCAAATAAAGAAAAAACCACTTGTATTAAAATTATATTAAAGAAAAAAGAAATGCGTGTAGTTTAATATTAAAACTTTCACATTTTTATTTTACTAAACTTTTACAAGTATAAGAGCGGAATTGATTGCATAAATAAGCTAAAAGTTAATTACCTTACTTTTAATAAAACTTAAAAGAAGTAAAAAAGATTCTGCTCATAAAAATATTTTTTAGAAAAATGTCTTATAAAAAAGCTCGTAAAAAGTAACTACAACATTAAATTTCCAGTGCACAGTGGGTCAGAAACCTGCAAAACCATACAAAAAAGTTTTTAAATTTTGAAATTTTGAAAAAGGCAAATTTTGCTCAATATATTAATAAGCCAGAAATTATATTTTATTAAAAAATAATTTTTCACTAAAATGCCATATTTGTTGTTTAAATATTTCCTTAAATACTTTTTATCAATAACAACAAAAAAGTGTGAAAATTTTATTTTTTTACAACTTTTGAAAACTTTGATTTCTTATTTTAAAGAAGTTTAAGTTTATTTTTTAACTTATAAATGACTTATATAGTATTATGTTAATATTTAAATCACATAAAAAAAAAAAAAATTTTGCATTTTATATAAATATTTTCAACAATGCAAACATCAATAATTTTGAGTTATAAGTTTTTATTTTTTTTCAAAAATATCATTTAAAACCATCGGATCAACCTGTTTTAACCGCTTAAAATGATATATAATTGAATACCAATACGACATTGATCTTGTGGTATAAAAATTGGCTGCTTATAGCTGCCTAAACGAATACACTTTTAAATTCAATTAACTACGTCCACGTTTCTTGTTAATGCGTTTTTGATCGATAACAAAAAATTTAAGAAGATTTAAAATTTAAAAACTGCAGCATTACAATTTTTATTAAAGACATAAGTTTAAAATTAAATATTTTTGTATTTTTTAATTGCTTTCCAGTAACTTCCTCGTATTTGCTCAATGAACATTTAGATCGCATTGAAACCATTATTCTAATTTTTATGCTACCGTTTTAAAGTTATAAAAACTCAGAGACTGTGATAAAATATGAACTATATACTTCTACGTAGTACAAGTTTGGGACATAATATTTATTATTTATTTTATAATTTCCGAAAATAATAAAATTATATGTAATCAATAAAAAACACGATAACAACCAATGAGAAATAAAGGAAAGAAACTGAGTTTTATAGTTACTGCTCGTAAAAAAATTACTTTATTAAAAACATTTTAATTACTTTCTTTCAAATTAAAAGTATTTTATTGAACAGACAATCTCTTAAAAATAGATAGGAGATGTCTTATGAATTATATAATGAAAAATAATTTACTACAAAATGATGATTTACATGCAAAGATTTTGAGTTTTGTTTCCCAAAGCAATTTTGAAGAATCAAATGATAACTTGTCAATTATTTCGAAATTCATTTACCAAGCTAAAAACAAGTAGAAAAAATCGAATAGAACAAGTGCAGTATTTGAAAAAAGATATAAAGTTTGGTTAAACCAAACTATATTTGACTGTAAAAAAAAAAAAAAAATCGAAACAAAAACCTGTGGTATGTTTACTTTAACTATGTGTAAATTTATGAGTATAATTTATTTGTATTATTATAATTTATTTGTATTATAATATTATACTTTAAGGTGGACGCCCTTCGATTTTGTTTGAAAATGCG